TCGCACGCCTCTGCCCACCCCCCCCGCCCTGCCCTGCCCCTCGCACCCCCCTGCCCCTGCCTGCCCTGCTCCTCCTCGCCCTGCAGCCTCTGTGCCCCCTGCGCCCCCCTGCCCCTGCAGCCTCTATGCCCCTGCCTGCCCTGCTCCTTCTCGCCCTGCAACCTCTGCACCCCCGCGCCTGCCCCGCTCACCCGGCAGAGGGAGAGCTGCAGGCTCCACATGGACCCAAACACTGTGCCACGCTGCTCTGCAGGGGAGGAGGGAGCTGGGGAGGGGGAGGGGGAGGGACTCTGGCTGCTAGAGGCCCCAGTGGCTGCGAGCGGCTTTCAATCAGGCCCAGCCGTCCAATCAGCCGCGCCGCACTCTGCATGAGGGAAAGGGGGAAATCCCGGACATTTCTACCTTATTAGAAATCCCCCCTGGACGGCCATTTAAAGCTGAAAAAGCCGGACATGTCCGGGGAAACCCGGACGGATGGTAACCCTAAGAAAGGAGATTTCCAGTCTCTGACTCCTTTAATTCTCCAGGGTGAATTCAGCCCTGCCCCCGCTGCAGTCAGGGGTGACTCCGGATTGACCCCGGGGGCTGAGATCAGAACCCGGCCCTGCCCCCAGTGCAGTCAGGGGTGACTCCGGATTGACCCCGGGGACTGAGATCAGAATCACCTGCTTCTGTTTTTCTAACGTTGTAGCCGAGCTGCAGCCCTGCTGTAGTTGGGCTGAACGTGGATTATTCTTTAAAATAGTCTAAAAAAACCACATTTACCCCAATTGTCCGGCAATGTGCTGTAGGCACAGGATGCAGAGCTTAGAGTGCAGGTGAATTCTCCCTGTGTGGTGCTGTGACAGAAAACCGCTTCGCCAACCCTCTGTCACGCCAGCTGCAATTCGGGGAGGTGAACTGGAGCTGGGGAGATGACCTGGCCCTGACTGGAAAAGCTGGAACGGCGGCTGCCCCATCAGGCTGGGGCTGGATAAAAACCCCCGGGGAAGGAAACCAGGGGGAGCTGGACAGGCTGTGAGCCGCACTAGAGGAAAGGCCGTGAGGGGAAGCAGAGAGAGATAGCAGGCCCCCTCTCTCCTGCTGGTGGCCTGTAAGAAGGGGACTATGTGTATGGTGGAAAGGTGGTGGGAACCCAACCTGTAAAGAAAAGCACCAGGGGAGCTCTGCACTAAGGTCTCAGTGTGACTTTCTCAGCCCAGTGGGGACAGGAGCCAGGAGGGCCCTGCAGGGACCCCGTTACAGGTGCCCATCCCTGTAATGAGTGGGGCTAGGTCTCAGTCCCCACCTCTGCTTGTGGAAGGAGGCAGAGGTCTGACAGATTCATCCCTTTGGGGGATCTGTGCCACCCACCCACCTCCCTCGTCCTTAATGTGGAAATTCCCCCAGCTGCCCTATTCCCCACAGATACTCACCTCCCGACACCCCGCTCCGCCTGGCCAGCCAGCAGCCTGGAAAGGAGACAGGTCATTAGAGATCAAATCCCAGAGTGACTGGATCCTACACCCTGGTATCAGATACTGCCCCCATGGGCGCACACCCTGGTTGTCTCCGATACTCACCAAGGAGGAGGATGATGAGAGCAGACGCCATGACAGGGCAGTGGGGGCCCCTCAGCGCTGCCACTAACACCCCAGTGCTGAGCTCCACCGAGTCTGAGGCCCGAGTGTGAGCAGAATGAGGAACTGCGCCGGGGGCTGCAGCCCCAGGAAGCCCGTGATGCGCTCGGCTCCTTTCTTCCCATCAGATGGTTTCTCTGCAAGCTCCAGCCCAAATGTACCGTGGTCAGAGCAAAACCAGCTCCCTGCCACGCCCAGCAAACCACTTCCTCTCCTGCAGCTGCCTGGTCCCCTCCACACACCCCCCCGCCATCACGTCCCAGCCCCACATGGGAGCTGCCCAGTCTGGGGACTAGCTGGGAACGGGGCAATCTCAGGCGATGTCAAGAGATTCCCAGGCTGCCCTGACCTTTTCCAACAGGCCCGTCTAGCCTCCCTGGAGCAGCACCTCAGAACAGAGGAAGGATCCCCACTCACACACACAGCCACCCACGGAGAGACCCTTTCCCACGGAGTGGGGCAGAGGTTCCTTCCTGACCAGGCTGGGCCCAGCACCCACCCTGGAGCATGAGGATGGAGGGACCTGGCCAACCTCCCTCTCAGGTAGTGTCGCTGCAGATGCTATTCTTAGCACAGTGGTGTGAGACAGACAGGACAGAGGGGTGGAGGGGTTGTGGTTTCCGGCCCCCGTAATGGGACGGGGGACGGATAAATTTAGATTCTGAATTGCTTAAGCAGCAACCAAAAAATGCGTGAAAAGGGGATGTGTGTCCAGAGCCGGTGCTCGCTTGCTGTTTCCACTACTGCCTGTGAAACTCTGCGTAAACCTGATTCCCCGGCAGCGACCCTATAATATAACCTGGCTCTGGGAGGGGACTGGGGTGTAGTGGTTAGAGCAGGAGGGTCCCCCTGCCCATCCCCAGAGCAATCCCATCTCCCCCAGGTGTGACACACACTTCTGGTGCAGAGACGGGGGGGCTGTGAGGTGCCCGGGGGCAGGGGGGGTGTTTATGGATCTGTGTTTATTACAAATCTGGAGATTAACAGGATGCAAAATAATATAAAATCTGTCTCGATGCGTCCTCGCCCCCTCCCGGTGCTGAGTCCTCCTAGCCCCCCACACGTGGGTCTGGGTGGGGCAGGGGGACAGCAACTTGATGGCACAAGGCTGCAGGTGGGGGGAGGTTCCCCCTTAATCTTCCCTAGAAGCAGAGTTCTCTGGGGCTGGTGGTGCAGGGGGATGAGTCTGTTGCCCCCTGGGGGCTGGTGCCCCATGGCTGTGGGGGGCTCTCAGTGTGGGGTCCCCAGCACACGTTGATCACAGCGTACACGCTGGGCTGGGTGGGGGCAGGGCCACCCCGCTTGGCCTGCAGCACCTGGTCGTCCAGCGGGAGCCTGGGGCTGGACGGGGAGAGAGAGAGAGAGAGAGAGAGAGAGAGAGAGAGAGAGAGTGTGTGTGTGTGTGTGTGTGTGTGTGCGCGCGCGCACCACCCC